CGGTCTTGCGTTGAGTATTGTTCGCACTTGTGGGACGGCTCCGCCAAGTACCTACTCGATGCCTTGGATAAATTACAGCGTCGTGCTACTCGAATTATAGGCGACGAAGAGGTCTCATCACGCCTTGAACCTCTGCAACTGCGTAGAGATGTTGCATCGCTTAGCGCCTTTTACCGCATGTACCATGGTGAGTGCTCTGAGGAGCTGTTCAACCTCATCCCCCCTTCCCCGTTCCTGCTCAGAAGCACGCGTGCTGGCCTTCGTAGTCACCGTTTCACTACCTGCCGCATTCCATCGCGTACTAAAAGGTTCGGTGGCTCCTTTCTCTGCCGCACGGTTGACAAATGGAACTCCCTTCCGGCACATGTCTTCCCTCCCTCTTATGATATGGGGTCCTTCAAACGAGGCGTGAAGAGGCATATTGCAGGCAGGTAGGGTGGAGGCGGCTAGTGCAGTGAGGATTCCATCGCTGCACTAGGTTCCTTCGCGTTTGGATACCACTTTCCACTTAACATCAGGTGGAGTGGAGTCATTTGCCTGTCAGGTATAAAAAAAAAAAAAAAAAAAATTACAAATACATTTAATAAATATAACTAGAAATTATTGTAAATAAAATGATATATAATTGTTAATTTCTCACAATCCTAGAATTACTAATTAGAAATGTATTTATGTGAAATAATTATACAACGCCACTTAGTTCAAGATACTACTAGAATTAAATTAAAACTTCCTCTTAAAATTTACATTCTTGTTTAGAACTGATAGCTTGATGATAGTTTGATGCTGTGTTCGATTTATTATTAATTCCAAATAGCTTTTCAATACGTAGTTTCTCATCTATGTACAAAGATTTTGAATTCTAGTATCTAATTGATTTTTGGAGAGGAATAAGTATAAATACGAGTTGGCGCCATTGTAACAACACATTATCGTATCAATTATTAATAGGGTGAAACTCTGCCCGAATAAATACCAAAATAACGACATTTTATTTTTATTTCGCTTGTCCGCCATCCCGTACTGCTTTCGTTACACTTTCCAAAAAGTTTTCAAAAATATGCAGCAAACAAACACTTTGAGGAAAAATGCTTTTAAATAAAACGCCTTTAGAGGCAAGCAAAGAGTAAAGCTACGTTCTGGTTCTGTACCCACATTATTCATGCGGTATGTTTTACAATTAATTGATTTTTGTGTAGCACTATTCTCATCAACAAGAAATCAGCGATTTATTGTTGTTAGAGTTCTGTTCTGTTCCAAAATACGATACTGATTTTTTTCAAATTTGGTACACATATTCATTTGTGTGACCAAAACGTGCAACGTAAATAAATTAATTCTAAATTTTTAAGTCACTATTGGGAGGGAAAGTTCTTAAGAATATATATTTTTTGTAATTATGAAATATAAATATTTTTAAGTTGTTTAAGAAAATAGACAAAAATTGATCATTCTACCCTTTATGTTCGAAACTACAGAGCCTAAAGTTTTGAAAAAATACAGAAATTGTCTTTAAATTTCCTACTATTGCGCGAATAAACCTATATTTGCTGTTGGAATCTATTGGAGAACATATTCTTCAACTACAATGTTAAGTTTGTACCGAAACCTCTCCGCGCGAGTTGAACTCGCACTTGGCCGGTTTTTTGGTTCTATTACTTATCTGCAAATTCACTGCTGTGATGCACTTCTATGTTATCATATCATACAATAATTATAATAGTTATATTTGTTTGTAGGTTGCGGTCGTCAGCTTGGTTCGTGGCCTCCATACTATCGCGCCGTAACTGATCATGGGTCTTATCACCATTTTGTAGAGCCATAGTGTTATCTTGGGTGAAAGTCCCCATTGTTTACCTACCATCCTGTGGCACTACCAGAAGGTGATAGTAGCTTTCTTAATTTTCTATTGAATCACTAATTAACTAGTTAATTAACGTCTCGGTATTTTGCGTTAAGACATTTTGGTGAATACATCGAAGTGAAATGCCGGTGTAATATGTTAATCGATATTAAAGTTAAATCAGTGGATGGCGCAACACTATTTATCTTGCACACATGCACATTATACGCACACAGATGTATTTTTGTTTTGGTCTCGTCTCCAATACGTCAGGGCCAATCTATGGATACTATATTTGATTGAGCTAACAACTTTGTTAATGCATTAATAATATCTGATATACTAATATCTTTTTTATTATTATTATCATTATTTATAATTGGTTTAGTTAGACGCTGGTAGAGATGGTTCTCTTATAACTTCATTGTGGGCTTTGCAATCGTAACCTTTAGAGGAAGTAGGTGGTGTCCAAGGTTTCTTGGACACTGTTTTCCTATACGACTGTTATTGAGATACATTATTAGTGGACGCAGCGCTAGAATGAAGCCTATTGGATGATGTGACATTGCGAGAGGGAGAAGATGGCTGAAGTAAGGCATCGGCATACAACATCTTACATATAGGCGGATGCAACTTAACAGCTTCCATATAAGAGATACACAGTTCTTGCTCATGGTTTCCTGTGTACTTTTTTGTCTGTTATACTCAAGACATTTTTTATTTATTGCTTGGTGATGACCATTACTTAAGCAACACCAGTAGTCTTCCTCCTCAATGTCACAACGGTCACCCGAATGTCCTTATCGACATTTATAACACTGGTGCGGAACGGCATTGATTTTTGACATGACCGAACCTGCAACAATTATAGAACAGCACTGTAGGATAGATATACAGATCAACAGGTAGAGCTGTATAGCACATGTATACTCGGGTTGGCAGTACTTGCCCATCAAACGTTATAACAATGGTACCTGTGTTTACAAATTCCCTTGCATTATTATTATTATTAGTAACTTTTCGTCTAATTCTTCTAGTTTTTATTATCGGGCCACAACCTAAAGGCACAGAAATATAGAAATTATTTCTTCATCAGTCCAATCAAGCGGGACTCTTCTTGCCACTCCCATTCTGGTGACATTAAAGGTTGATATAAAGGCTAGGATTAGACCATGTAATATCTTTTGTATAAGAATTTTCATCAGATTTATTCAATGAACATTGACAGTCAGTATTGGCATTTAATTTAATTGATCCACTCCGCCTTCTTTTTTATTACAAGTTGCACAAACAACGCGAGAAACACGTTTACGTTTTCTCACTTCAGTAAACGAGCCGTCTGTGTCCATGGATGACTCAAGAGCATTTACTAGCTTATCTATTGGAGTTTGAGCCACTGTATCATCTTCATTAAACGCATCTTGAGACACCGGAGGAATTGTCGCTCCGGGGTTATCGGGCGGATCGCCCATAGTAACAAGAAAAAATTAGAAACTGAAGAATATATACAGCAAATTACACACTATTAAATGTAAATATACAACGAAATAATACTAATATATACACTTATAGTACAAAAACCATCCCTTTTTTTCCTTGACTTACAAATTTTTTAGAGTTTTAAGTAAATTTAAAATTTGGAGAAAAAACTGCGTCTTCGCACGAAGTTTCCCGCCCATTTTTTTAACCCATAAATTATTTTTTTCTTATATTTTGGCACTATGGCGTCCAGCCTTTGGCCATATGCAATTTCCACTGAGTTGCAAATCTTGAGATTTCAGAATAATTATTATTGTCGTTGCAGTTGTTGTTGTGGAACTTTGGTTGGGTTTATGGATATTAATATGAAATTAAAAACGGGGAAAGGAAATCGCGGAATAAAAATAAAAGCAAACGGAATTTTGGAAAGGTGATCAACAGGATAGGATAGGTAGTATATTTATAAGTAAATCTAACCAATGAAAGATGGAAATTATGAAAGGAAATGGAAATGAGATGGTAATATCTGAAAATAATGATAATTGGATAAATAATAATCTGAATTTTAATATCATTTTTCCTTATAAACTGAGCCAAAACATTGTGAACGGAATAATTATTATACGATAATAACAGAGGAATAGATGTTGGTAAAGGAATTTGTAAAGAAATTATAGATTGAAAAAACGAAGCACGGTCATATCTTGGACAGGAAAAAAAAAGGTGGTTCAAACCGATGTTCAAACTGCCAATGTCTTGTTCGCATTCGCACATTGAATCAGGTATTATATTAAGTCTAGCAAGATGTTCAGATGAGCAAGTATGTCCTAGGGTCGTATTCTAGAACTCTACTCAATGCTCAAGTCAGGATTTGAGTATGGTTTAAAGCATTCGAAATCATACTCAAGTCCCTGCCTTTAGGGTCGTATTTCCAGTGGTTGTGTTTCAATTGCAATCCTGACTTGAGCATTGAGTAGAGTTCTAGAATACGACCCTTAATCTCATTCTTGTAATGATTGAAGTAACACGTTACTCAAAATGTATACGCGAAAACCAGAGTTTGACAGGGATGTCGGGCTGTATATAACGTAGTTCACTAAGTAGTCTGTGCTGTATATCACGAAAATATCTACCCGTAGCTTTACTGCTTGTTTCCCACACAGTACCTATTGTTCGTGTAAGAGTAATAGAGTATAGTGTATTGTCTATGGTCTTTTATTATCTATGACCAAGAAATTCGAAAGTCAACCACAAACTATAAGAGATACTAGAGTCGACCAAAAGTCAATCAATAAACTATCAGTTGCACGCACAAACTACTAATGTAGGTTGCACGCTAGAAGTTTGAACGAACTACCAATTGGCGGACATTTTGTAATTTAGTGTCGGCTCTTCTTGATGTTATTAAAATTTGAATTAGTGGAATTTTTACTGGAAAAACTTCTGAAAAATTGGAAAAAGACTATTTGAAGGCTCATGTTTTTGTTTAGAAATATTTTTTGAAGTTTTATTTCGCGTCAATTATGATAAAATAAAATGTATGGATAAAAGCAGGTTATACAAAAATGAGATTTAAAATGATCGGACAACAAAATCGTAGTCGATTTACCGGTTCTCAAACACAAGCCAAACAAACACCAACTTACAACTCAACTCTATTATCGAAAAGACATCTTCCGCCGTAGGCCATTGGGCCGATATATTGGCGCTATTTTGCGTCTAAAATACTATTTTGTTCATGTTTTGAATAAATTTGGAATAGGGGACAGTTATTGTGATCGTGCCGTGATTATAGTCTCCTTTTAATATATACTACAAGTATTCCTATGAGGTTATAGCAAGGTAATTCAAAATCTGTTCAGTGGACACAACTTTCACCTTTCATTCTACACTCATCAATCATTATAGAGAGAGAATAAGACTCGATAGTAAAGATAAATTTAAGATATTAGCGTTGATACCACCATCATATTGTGATTAATACACTTTAGCAGTAAATCTGAATAAATCCACCATATGTTTTTACTACTACCTACATCAGTTTGTTTAAAAAATCATCTCGTTTTGTCTGCGAATCCTTGTACAATTTATTGCAGATGTTTCAGAAGTGAGTTTTGGCTCTGTTTTATACACAGAGATGTATATGAGATATTTGTTGTTTTACTAGGATTACTCATGTGCCCAGAAAATATCTTTGTTATGATTGAATTTGTTTAAACGAAACATTTCCCCATTTCAGAATATAAATGGGTTCTCTAAAGTAAAGTTAGTGTCAAGAAAAGGCTGACGCCCTTAACTAGTTGCACTGAGGAATTGAATGGCTATGTATTATTACGCCAGTAAACTAAATGAAGCCTCATGTAGTGGGTGCAATATAAAGGTGCCACCAGCACCTACTGAACCAGCACCAGTGCCCCCTCCACCCATTGAGCATGCACCATTGCCTCCTGACTCAGCCCTCTTGCATGGCACTGGACTGTCCTATTATGATGTATGTTGAACAGTTTATAGATATTTATTTGTATATTTTAGTACTTTTTCATTATCTATGTAATACCCAGAATACACAAGGCTAGTTGTTCAAGCTGGGACACCAAGCTAGTGTTAGTAAGCTAGTATGCAAATAACTGTGGCTTTGTGTATACAAAACTATTTTCACTTCTAGGCTAGTAAGCTAGTAAGGAAGAGTGTAGACTAGCATCTCAAGCTAGGATAGTTTAATAGGATGGGTACTGCTGTTTGTGCTACTAGCTTCTGCCACCACTGAATTTACTATTGGTATGCAGCGACAACACATTTTGTTTGCCCAACTGATGACCACGCGTTTCTGAGACAGTTAACATGCTGTAACTGAGTACTGTTATTAGTTCAAAATTAATGCAATTATTCCGTGAAGAGGAATGTCTTTGAACTGCTATTCCATGGTATAATGATAAATCTCTGCTTGATTCAGCATTACAAAAAATAAGTGGCAAATAATTAATAATTGATATAGAAGTAAAAGTGTTTCTTTTACGAAAGTTCTTCATTACTATCCACAGACAATTTGTTACCTTAGTCACTACAATGATATTGGCTTAAAATTGACTGGCATCATGTAAACCATTCTAGCATGTATCAAGCCAGGACAGAGTTACTAGCTTGCTAGCTTACTAGTACTAGCTTGAAAAACTACCCTCATGTATTCTGGGCATAACATCTTAAATCAGACATCTTCAAATTAGACAGTAGTAGAAGTGCTGCAGTGGCACAATGAGGTGCAGCAGGCATGTGTCTGTAGCACTTCAGTAATTTTTAGTTCACTAATTGTGACTGCAAAAGTAGCACACTTGTGTCACAACAGTGTGTGGTGCAGCAACTGCACCTCAAAATATTGTATGAAAATTAGTAGCAGTGCAGCTGCAGCGCCATAGTGGTAGTGGTGCCACTGCTGCGCTTCTACAAGTGTCTAATTTGATGGTGCTCAGTTTGTGTGTGATTGTGTATTTTGTGTTTGAAAATGTCATAGATGTTGCCTAAATGAATTGACATTATTCACTTAATGCATTACTGTGTTCCCAGAACGATGACTACTACTCTATGGTGAGAGGGAACAAGTTCATGTCGGAAACAACTTGCAAACACATTGTAATGAACGGTGGCATAAATTTTGTGGATACTCAAAAAGTTGAAGCACCACAGGTCAGTCCATGCACTTGTAGTTAATTTGAAATTGCTATTGTCATGGTCAAAAGTATTATGGTATGTTATAGTTGGTGTCTGCAACATCTGGGTGCCTTTTTAAAATGTTAATATGTATTGTATATATGTATTGTAAAATGTAAAAACAGGGTGTTTTTCTCTATCTAGATATCTGCTGTGCTTGCACCTGGAGTAAAAGCATTGACAACACTTCCATATATGAGTTGTCCTCTTGAAAAACCAGAAGTAGAATACAAGGATGGACAAATTGTTAGTGCTACACTGGATGCACTGGTGGACATGCTTAGACCTGGAGCCAGTAAAAATTTTACCTTTACCTTTCTCCTGTGCTCACGCCTTTTTGTCAAACCACATGAATTGCTCAGCAAACTTTGTAAACGATACTTTAAAACGTATGATAAAATAGTAAGTATTATTTCTCTATTTTATGGCCATTACATCCATATTTGGTTGTGATTTAACTAATCTTTGAATCAATTACAGGGTAAAGCTGAAATTAATGATTTAAAACAAAAGGAACTAGCTGATATGGTAGCTTTTGTGCGTGTGCTTAAACAATGGACCAGTATGTTTCCTTACGATTTTCGTGACGATAGGGTTATGGCACTAGTGCGAAGTATAACACAGAGGTATGTGTATTTTTCTACGTAACCATAAAATGCACAAAGTTTAATCCTATAAGAAAAAATATCTCTTTAGCACATAGTTACATTTCAGGTGTGTAGCTGAACATATGGGCTCCGTACGAGCTGAAGTGTCAACAATGCTAGAAAAGCTCCTTGATAAATTGACAGCACTGGAACAGTATGAAGCAACATTGGTGGAGATTCCACAAGTTACATCTGTTGATCAACTGCCTCAGGTAATAATCTGTTCAGGTGTTGGAATGTCTTCTTGCACACTTTATCCTTTTAATTGTTGTTCAACATGTGTCTCTTTTATAGCAATTTATTTTAAACTCTTATGGATTTTTTTTGTAGTGATTTACGTCATCTAGCTCACCAGCTTAATGAAGTAATAATATATAAAGTCCCAAATGTATCATTTCAGGGAGATATTCTGACTCTAGGATTAACACCTGCAGAATTAGCGAACCAGCTGACACTGGTGGAGCTGCACAAGCTGTCGTTTGTCGGACCCGAAGAATTCGTGCAAACCTTTGCACCAGCACAGGCTTCGGCGCCAACTTCGTCGTGCGGCAAACCTGCCATTAATTTGCACCATATTGATACCAAGTGCACTCGGAATTTAGAGGCATATGCTGATTGGTTCAACAGGCTCAGTTACTTAGTAGCCACTGACATATTGAAGGTAATATTTGTAAAGATCTTGCCCATCGAGTATATAATCAGAAATAGAGATGAAATAAGGGCCATTCATCCCTGGCAACTCATCAGTCAAATGGTACTATTATCACTTTTAAATATCGACTCTAGTTTGCGGTGGAATCACAAATTAGAACGCTGAAATAGTACAGCTCCAAGAACGGACCTGTGTGTACATCTCCATATATTCCAAAAATATTCTGTATTTATTGTAATAAAGATAATATGTCTAACTATGGGGGGCTGTTCCATTTGGTGGTGTGTAAAAAATAACAAAACATTTAATTACTAAAAAAAAAGAGAATCATATTTCATTGATAATTAAATGTTAAATATGTAATTTTTCAGTTTTCGTCTATTATAACAAAGCTCAAGTTAAACTGGTCGACTTGAAGTGAAACAATTGACGACATCCGTCAATTGTTTCGAATTCGGGCTGGTGAATCGGAGCGCAGTTGTTACTGTAATGATATGGCGGAATAGTTTTCAAACAAATTAAATGACATTTCGTCTCTATTTTTGGTTATATACTCAATGATCTTGCCTAATGTTATTTGTATTCCGAATTTTTTTACTGTAATTTTTTTTTTTGTAGTGTACAAAGAGCAAGTACAGGGCACGAGTCATCGAGCAGTGGGTAATGACGGCTCGTGAATGCTTCAATTTGGGTAACTTCAATTCGCTCATGGCAATTATCAGCGCGTTGAACATGTCGCCGATCTCCAGACTTAAAAAAACTGTAAGAATTCAACAAAACATTTATTCTGTCCAATGTACTTTGTAATTTTGTTTTAAGTGAATGTGTGTATATTGTTTATGAAATACAATATCGTGTTTTAAAATTTAATGAATAAATAAATACGTATATAGTAAATGTATATAAATTTTGTGTAGAATACATAGTTATGTATGTAATCGTCTAACATTCATAATTGATATTGCAGTGGAGTCGTACATCAGCCGTATGTGGCCAGCAACTGCGACAGTTGGAGTTGTGTATAGAACCCAGTGGGAATCACGCAAGGTACGTTTGCGACGTTCTAGTCATCTCCTAATACAATAGAATTGTTATTGTAACAAATGGCATTCACTAACACATAACAAATGAATTATCCTACAACAAAACAGGAAATTAATGAAACATAAACAGTATCTTTCAATGATATTAGGCCGGAGGTATTGTTTTGTTTTTCTTTCTTCCATAACAAATTAAACATTTGCTTTACTGCAAAACTCTGTAGGACAGGACGCAACAAAGCTGCGGTTGGTGGCTCACTGCCTCAGAAGGGTATTGGGTGTAATGGGTATTGATTTTTTTCACGATCTAGGCATCGGAATTCTGGATAAAATGGAAGTCGAAGGTAAGGTGAATGGCAGAGAACCTTTTGAAGTTTGAAGATCATTTGTGGAAATGTCTTGAACAGAATACATTTGGTATATAAAGCTGGGATGGATATCATCGGCATTGGAATATTTACCGTCTCCTTCGTTGGGGTCAGTTTGCATTTCGACATTGTTTAGGTGCTGTGCCGAGGCCATCCAATGGCATGAGCATTACTTAAAATATTTTTTTAGTTAAAAAAAGTAGACTTTTTCACACAAAGTACAAAGTACAAAGCGGTTCAAAATTTCTTCATTTCTGTATTTATTCAGCAGTGCAAGGCATATTGGTGGTCGTTAAGTTAATGTATCGTCAGTGTCTGGATATATCACGGGGCTCATTGTTCAGCTATTTATCCATAGTAGCCCCTTATCCCCCATATCAGCCCCAAGTCCTGCCGACCTTTAGGGTGTACGAGAAGAGCAATATAACCTGTGAGGAGCCTTCTTAGTTCAGGTTCTGAAACCAGATGAGCCAGTGTACAGGGTTGTTACAGACTATTATCACTGACTACATCCGGTTCTCAAAGAGGCTAGTGCCTTGTGTGAGTATATATCCATAACAGTAGAGATCATGCCAATATTGGACCATGTTCTTCCTTTGTAGTGTTCTGTCTGGGTACGTCTTTGATTTTTCACGTGTCGTGTACGTCGCGTAGTTTCACGAAAAAAAATTTATACGTTTTTTGCGTCTCATGTCGACAAGCACGATCAAAATGTAATAAAAACAAAACACTAATCGAGAAAGTAATGACTGAGTGTAAAGGTAGAATTCTATTGGTCAAAAATAGATAATCCATTTGAACCAGTCACAATTCGATAGATACATCCATTAAATAAAAAATGTCTGTATTCCAGGGTGATATTATTTGTGTCAATAAAAAGTGTGCCAAGAATAAGTATAGAGTACTTATTTTTCTGGTCACTTTTTTTATTTTGTATGTCATTGTACTTTTTTACTTCACGCAGATACCGTGCAGCATTAGCGGCGGCACCCACTGAAACAGCTGTTCCATTGTTGTCGGTTACCTGTCGGGACCTACACTTTGCTAATCAAGGATCTCCTTCAAAGTAAGTTTGTCTAATGAACTTCACTCATATTTTCAGATTTTTGTAAGCATTTGGTACCTCCTACGATCCTGCAATGTGTCTTGCAGTATTATTTTCGTATTTCTTTTAGTCCTCTACTGTTGCGGTCGATTGACTTGGAAGGACTGTCAATTCTGAGCAGTTAATTTTGTTCAGTAAGGTACAAGGTTCCTGAAAGTGTCCGGACTTGCAGGTCCTTAAGTGGCGGGGTCATGAACTTAAAATTAAAGGCTTTATAGAGCGATATGCTAGTACAAAACCGTATTATCTTTTCAAGGTTGCCGGGGAACTACGTAAATTTTGAGAAATGTTCGTTGCTGGCTCGGTACGTAAGCATGCAACTGGCAGCGCGGCGACTCACCGACGAGGACTCTGTCCCGGTCAGTGCTCCGCAGACGCCAGCGCGCCGTTTATTCGCTGATCGGCCCACGCTTTCCGAAAATGGTAAAAATCAAATGAAACTTTGCAGCAGTGAAGTATTTGGAAGTCTTTGAAGTCATAGTCGTTGGTTGAACTCGTATATGACAGGGGACAACCGTTTACGGCGCTGATTGTCTGCGTAATGGTAAATATGTACCTAACTTATTCTTCCTTCTTTCAGTTTTGGAACTCATATCTTTCGAGCGTGAGCCACCTGTCGACCATTCCGAAAAGGAGCGCTTGAAGCGTCTTCGTGGTGGCACTTAAAATAATCTATTTCACTTCTCTGAGCCAATACTCATTAACAAGTTTTATTTGTCCAAATACTAAGTTACTACCCCAGTAAACTTTAATAGCAAGGTAAGTAATTTTAAAAAGAAATAGCGAACATGCTAATACTATGGTACGGAATATTTACTCATTGTTGATGTTGTAGTATTTTAATTTGTACTTAATTTTTTCCGTGTTTTTTATTTATTTATTTTTTTATTAGAAATCTCGGGAGTTTTGTAATAAAAAAATGGCTACCTCGGTAGTTCATCCATGAGGCACTGTATGTCTTGGTGCCAAGTCCGGTTCCCTCTTGAATAAATTAAGAAAACGTTAATTAAATAGCGTTCTTATTTTCTAAATGTCAGGGTGTTGCGGATTGTGCCCGCCGAGTTTATCATTGTCCTGGTCCTCATTGTAAAGGAAATTTATTATCCTTGAGACCGTGTAATTGACATGATTGTCTAGCTTTATTTATTTATTGCATTGTACTTAATATTTATTAGTAAAGTTGTTAACTACCCGCAATTATTAATTACGGGTTGTTGGCAGAAATGTATAGTTAACAGCACATCGAACTATAACTATTTATAACCAGCACTTTTGTTCGAATATCACGTACAGTGCAACGGAAGTTGAATGTGCTGCCCTCTGTACTCTTACATTGTGTTTTCGCTATTTTATATTGTGTTCCTTTTTCTTTTTGTAATTAAAAATCTCGGAGTCTTTTGTACCTGCAAGTATTTATGACGCGCCGTCTTGATCAAGTCTGCCAGCCATCTATGATAACTGACTATTGGTTAAATTGTAACGTTTCATTGTGATTTTGTTATTTTTTTATGTTAGATATGTCTCAAGTTATTGAGAAACTAGGATTTGTCGTTAATAGTCCCTATAGTCATTGTTTTACAACTTTACAACAACAGATCCTTTATGGTAGCTTCCATAGTAGTTATTATCTTAAACTGTATAATGTGTATTTTTTTCGTCGAATATTAATTAGTTCAATTATATACTGTTAGAATCCTTAAGTCCAAGTTCCTTACTTATCATTATATTTACATTTAAGGTTAAAATCTCTATGAAGAATCTCTGAATATATTTTTAAAAATATTTATGTCTCGTACTTTGAAGTGATCTCAATAGATTCAACTTATATTTGTGTGTTTCTGTAATTGGTGTTGGATGTTAAGTGATAGTTTTAAGTATGTGTGGAAAATAATTTATATTGTTGAGTGTTCATAGCTGAAAACCTGAATAAAAACATTCCCGTTATTATATTGTTAACTTCGCTACTCTATTAGATTACTACATTTTAACATAATTAATAGCCCACCAACGTAAGTGATGATTCATTTATTACAATAAATGTTTATATTTAAACAATGATATCCGTATGAAAACGTTGAAAATATGACAACTGTATTACTTCGCGTGTAGATTTCAGTTGCCATGTTTCATTTCAGTGCTTAAAATATTTAGATTAAGTTGCCAATTTATATTAAGGATTTGTTTAGAATTAACGTCCAAATCAAAACGGACCTCGTTACTGCTTGCAGTGGGTTTTAATTTGAATAAAAATAGAGGTAAATTAATGTGCTACTGTGGATTTATATTAACTGCTTAATTAACTGCATGAAAAAATTATTCAACACAAGCGTACCTATTTTGCATGATTTAACCTACAAACAGGTACGTGGAGAGTAGCAAATTATTTTCTTCCATTTTTATTAACACGGACTTCCGCAAAGTAACGCCTGAATCAAATAATTTTTTTGAAGTAGTAATTTCAAATAATTGAACATTACTACCACCTCGCCGCATTGAAGGTGCTTTTTGATTTGAGCGACTACAATTGCTTTATTAGCAGATGCACTCAATCCCGTTAAAAATAATCTTAAATACTGTATATTCTTCAAGCGTTTTTAGGATTAAGTTTTTTAGTATAGAAGTCATATTAGGTAACATATTCATAATTATACCCAGTGAATGAATAGTTTTATGACGTAATTATTTAGAAAACATTGGTTTATTCTTTGAATACTCATTATTCTTGCATTCACAAAAGTATTTTCAGATTGTAAAGTCTTGTTCCCGTATAGGAGAACATACTGGAATTTGTAAGTGTTTTGGATATACATATAGTTTTAATATCCTAATATTGTAAAATTTTTCGACGAACATCTCGAGTTCATTTGACCTTCATATCACTCCCATAAACAATAGAGGTCTATTGCGGTGTAGGTATCCCACTTATACATACTAACGTGAAGATGTTTTCTCGAATAATTTGTAAATTAGGTAGTTCACTGGAGACTTTTTCTTTGATAACTTTAAAACGAAACTTCCGGTACACATATTTTAGTATAAAAATATTGCTAGAATACAACTCTGCTCAGCCAAAAAAAAAAAAAAAAAGGACCGGTTAGTAAATTATCCTTTGATAAATCACTAATCTAAACGTTACGATCGGAAAACTAAAACAGAACTATAATTTTTCAACCCCGTTTTAAAAATTCCTTTGTAAAATATGAAATGAATTAAAAGATAAATAATGAATTATTATTTTTAATTAATCGAATAAACGGTCGTATTACATGCCTTTCTAGAGCTTTTCACTTTGATCTTCTATTGAAGTGTATTTATTTGGGGCATAGACGACATTATAAAAGTGATTACACTTGACCTTCTCAGTCAATAGAAATAAATTACTTACCATTGTATATATATCTTTTCATTTAGACCGTTCATTTCATTCCATTACAATACGTTCCAATTTATTTGACCCTATGTTGCAATCATCGAGTACAATTTGACCAAAAGAGTGTCCTTTGTACCCCAAGTGGGTAGCAAATAACTCCATGCATCGCCTTTCCGTGGATAAAACGTTTTTTAGCGCCCAGTAAACCCAAAAAGCCCAATAATCCCTATGCAGTTATTTAAATATCCGGAATCAAAATGTATTGATTTTATTTTGACAACAGACGGTTAAGTCGACATTTATGCCATCTTAAATTCATTATGTACGTAATCAATAATCCTCATTAGATATAATGGATTTAATTGGGTACAAAAATCAAGATGTACATACATCTTTTTCAATTTTATTAACTGGCATTAAGATACTTATTTGATGAATTTTTACGCACACATGTTCTACCTGCTTAGCATAATTCTGTTTAAAACTAAAAGTATAAAAGAAATAATGTATTTTCGTGTTATGATTAGGAAGTAATATGCAAAATTAATACATACGAAATTCGTTTTTCAAGATTTTATGTACGAAGATTTAAAAAAAAATCGATTTACATAGTTCTTATTATACTAAAGCTAAAACAGTCAAGAGGCTTATATGCGACTTGCGTACTTTGCGACTTTCACATTGTGTTATTAATAAAAGAAGTCAAAAACAGAGAATTTGTTCTCTACCTCGGCCTTTATACAAATTTATTGCCGATTTTTATCATATAAATAAAGAAGGAATGGTGTGCCTGTACGTGAATTACGCATATAAAATCGTCAAAAATCGATTTATGACGATTTTATGAGTTGATGTAAACTGTAAAAGTGAGTCTGACACAGACATTGTGACGTTCGTATGCTCTAAAGGTGTCTGATGTGTTTAAAAAAAATTATTTTTCATTCATCAGTGTTGTAGTTTACTATCTTTGTGTGATGGATGATTATGTATATTGCAGGAAGCGTATAATAAATGTAATATGCTTCTTCAAATATTGTAAAGAACACTATAATACTTATCTCATGTCAATAAAATGTATTACAATTCAACACCTACGTTTTATTTTTGAAAGCAGCATTTTTTGAAATTGATAGTTTATCAATACTTCGACTCAACAAGTTTTAAGGGTAAATAAAAATTCAAGTTGGGAGAACAATTTCATTTATCACACTTATTACAATCATATTAAATTATAGTCCTTTAATATTTAATTTTATAATTAATGCCACGTAATTCGAGGCTTATAACAAAATTTTCGATGTTTTGTAAGAAGTTGTAAATATTATGTACATAAATGCAAGTAGTATACGAATGCATATAATGGACCTAAGATATTTATTACTAACACTTCATTGGAGTTCCATCTGGGTTTGTTGGAATTTTTGGCTTACAAACTTTCTTTATGCCGTCGACACCACTTACCATAGTGCAGGTAAATGTGAAATATCCACATGAAGACGATTTGCTATAGTAGGTGTGTGAATATTGCTTGCGTATATTATTCTCTGCATCCATATCGCGCGTCACAGATTTAGATACTGAGACATATTTGTTATTGTCGGCTTTGTTATTATGAAGGGATCGCAAAGCAGGAGGGTTAACATTCCTGCCATATGCACTGGGAATACTAGGGTACACGTATTTTACTTTGCCAGTTCCCGGAGTAACAGAAACAGTTTGTGCCTGTGACGGTGAATCTTTATACCCAACGACATATGTCTTGTCTTTGGAAGCCACAGATTTCACACTTCCCGTAAAGCCGATAGGGATAGTATAGCCTCCTGTTCCAGGTACACTTTCTCCTGGCTGATAAATACGGGTCTCGTCGGGTCGCTCCGAACTTTTTTGTGTTATCACAGCGTCATGTTTGTTTAAGGAACCCAATACTATATGTTGCGTGTTACCACCTGTTGATTGCTGCACGTCAATACCTTTTTTGTTTGAGCTGTGTAGGGATTGATGGGTTGCATCGCTTTCTCTGGTGTACTCGTCGTAATTTGTGTCAATAGTGTAATCACCATCTCCGGTTTCGCTACCGTCACCTGTATAACCGGCCTCTGGATAGTAATCATCTAAGGTATTATCATCTTTTGCTGTCGCATATTCATACTCCACTCCAGTATTGGTCTTAAAAGATCGACGGCTACCCGCAGATCCTGCAGGTGGTATTGCCGGAATATTGGGTTTGTGATGTTCAGAGTGTGTATGTCTAGTAGAATATCTGGTTTGAGAGCTATTCATGGTTTCTTCTTCATTGTTCTCTGTGTTTTTTTGAGTTGGTAGCACAGTCGTTTCTGGTATACGTTCTGTGTTAACATTTATATATTTTTCATTTTCATCATAAACATCTAAGCTATTGAATGGTAACCTATTACGAAATACTGCGTCTTTGTCTACGCTAGCTCCGGCCTGCGCAGCGCCACTATATTTTATACCATATTTAAAAGTGCCATCTAAGCTCGATTGTGACTGTCCAGAACGACCACTCGATTGAGCTGAAGCTACGCCTTTGCCTACGAACGGCGTTTTCAGTAATTCATGTGATTTGTCTTTTTCACTATATGGCGTAAAACCTATTTGTGCTTGCGATGACGTACTACCTGGGCCACGGGCTTGAGCGTCTGCCATTCCACCTTTTACACTGCCTTGAACATTGGAATTGGACGAGTGTATATTACCTTTACTTTCTGCCATTGTCTGTAGAGCGCCGGTTTCTGACCCGAGTTGAACGGAAGCTTGCGACAAATTATTAAGGCCTTTGCCCTGTGCATTACTCTTTGCTCCGTGTTTACCGCCCTCTACTTCACTGTGTGCTCCTTTGTTTTCATCAGAAATGTCTGCTTGCGCTGAAAATGAACCGCTACCGGTATAAGTTCCTTGTACATTTGTCTGTGCGTGCCCCTTTTCATTGCCACCTTTGGATGTTGCACTAGCTGAAGTTCCATTTGCGTTTTGAAGGACACTGGCTTCTGCCTCAGAGTCATAGCCATCCAATGACCCCGCTATCGAGTTTGGATCTAATACATTTTGTGGTTCATCTGAAATTGAAATGAAATAGATATTTTTATATTATTCATTCGAAAGACATTGATAATAATACGCAGTCGTAATCGTCTTATGTAAACAATGGGTCTGTGCACAAGTATGCAAACTTGTTTGTAAATTGTAACTTCGATGTATCTACCCACAACAAGAATATAAAAATAAATTTGTTTTATTTTTTGATAACATTTAGGCATTACTTTACTTTAGACTTATGCATTTAGGAAATAAATTTGAAATAAATTTTCTCCTTCATAAATTGAAAATACCTTCTGACCCCGGAGGATACATACCAGCACCTCCAGTCCCCGTAGGGTATGGTTCTCCTCCTGTGCCCGAAGGATATGGTCCAACTCCGCCTCCTGTACCCGTAGGATATGGTCCACCACTGCTTC